ACCGTATCCCAATATCCCCCAAAATCCCATTTGATTTGCTGTTTCTACATCTGTTAAAAGAGAAGAATTGGTTACTTATCTTTCGCTGTATCATGCCATATGTTTTCTACCCAGTTTACTGTTTCACTTCAGATGCAAAATAACTTGACTACCACACAATGTAAGAATTTGGAACTCCCCACCGTCAAGAAAACAATGGAGAGTCGGTCTACTTAATCAATCATATCCAACCATTGTAGTATTTGCTTGATTACCACACAAGAGGAGATTGTTGTAAATAATTAGAAATCAATGGTTGAAGGAAACTTATGGCTTTGAGAGGAATGAAAGTTTCTGGGTTCTTTAAATTCTATGCGGCTAGAAAAAAGGGGAAACTTCTTCTGGCCTCCGATTTCCTTACAAATATTCTACCCACCACAAAGACTTTTTCAACATTCCCAAAACCACCAAAAGCAAAGTCACAATTCTTTGAGTCTCCAAAACATAAAATCTAAAAGTTTAAAACATGTGAAGACCATAATACTCTCTCTCTCTCTCTCTCTCTCTCTCTCTCTCTCTCTCTCTCTTCATAATGTTACTGTGATGATTTCAAATGGGTTTTTTTTTGGGGGAGGGGGGGGGGGAGGGGGGATTCTAGTTCTCTCCAAAAATTTTCAATAGCATCGACATCGGCGATGAAACTTTCCCGTTGTTTGTTCATGAGGCGAAGAAAACTACGATCTTGAAGACGGCGATGACTTGTTGCGATGGATTGAATGCTGTCATTCTGAAAAAAGTCAGGAACTCTAACGACTCCCAGTGTAATTTTTTTCCTTTTTTAACTTGTACTTGAATTTGAGTGCTATATTTTTTTGTTATCTTATGTATTGTTGTAATTTTTTTTGAAATCGATGACTTTAGATTAAAGTAGAGTCTGTAAATTTATATATTGTTGTTATTTCACTATAATGAGTTTGTTGTTGTTAAGGTTATGAGTTGGTTGTGAAGGAAGGTCACGTGTTGGTTTTAAAGGTTACGAGTTGGTTGTGAAGTTTTTTACGAGTTTGTTGTGAATGTTATGTTGGATATTTATTAAGAAAAGGCAATTTTGCCTTTGTGTTTTAGTCCCACATCGGAAAATTAAAAAGAATCGTCTCTCCCTCAACCCTATAAATACACCCTTATTCACATTCTAAAACACAAAAAAATAAAGTTTTTCTCCTCTTCTTTGGTTTAAAGAAAATTGTTTTTCCCCTCTATAAATTTTGTTATTAATTTTTTTGGGCAATCTTCTTCATCTGAGCTGAAGCTCTGTACTCTTGCACGAGTACGGAGGTCGGCCGTTTCCGGGGGCTTTTACCGCTAGGGTGATAGGCGGGTTCTCAATTGTTTATGGAAAAAATTGTAATAAAAGAAATAATGAAAGAATCGTATTTGATTTATTCTCTCTAACTGCTTAGAAAAAGAATGATTATAACTCTCTCAATCTCGATTACAATTGGATTTACTGATTACAAAAGAGAGGAGAATAATCTGGATTCTCCCATTTGTTTAATTTTGGGTTCTTCACTGTGGCGATGGAGTGCCTCCCACGAATGCTCGCGTCGAGTTTGCTCTCTGTTGACGATCCGCACATCTTGATTTACTGGAATAATATCTCCTCCTCATGATTTGACGCTGTGGAGAACTCGCAAAGCAAGTTTGAAACACTACTGCAAAGGGGACTATTGGCGACGGAAAAATCCGTCGCCAAAAGTCCAAAATCCGTCGCTAAAAGTTTTAGCGACGGAAAAAAAGAAATTCCGTCGCTAAAAATCCGTCACTATTTTCAGAGTAGGTAAATCTATCTTTAGCAACGGCAAATCCGTCGCTAATTTATAGCGACGGATATATAGCGACGGAAAATCCGTCGCCAAATTATTATTTTTTGGCGACGGATTTTCCGTCGCCAAAATAAACTTTTGGCGACGGATATATAGCGACAGAAAATCCGTCGCTATATAATTTTCCGTCGCCAATATTTATTGGCGACGGAAAATCCGTTGCTAAAAGTTGTTTAGTGCACATGTGGCGTGCCAGTTTTTCGTCGCTAAAAGAGCTTTTAGCGACGGAATATCCATCGCTAAAAATAATCTGAATTTTTTAAAATTTTTTTTTGAAAATAAGAAATTCCTGTACAATATATTTCACAACAATAACCTGTACAATAAATTTACCCAACACAAGCACATATGACACATATTTCACGTATATAAAACAATTATTTCACTAAAAACATAATAAATATCCCAACATTAGAAATGTTTATACAGCACACCCAACATTAGAAATGTTTATACAGCACACCCAACATTAGAAAGTCTACAAGGTGGATAAGGCGGCTTGTTGGGCATTTATCGGATAAGAGGCTCGCTCGATCACTTCCTTTTCCACTAAGTGATTGCTTAGGGACCTTACAATTTTCTTGTCATTTATTCTTTTTGGTTTCATATAATAAAAGAATTATATACATCTGGTCAAGCGCTGGCACTCTTGCTAGAGATTGGGATAGTATTCAATCATCCGGTGCTCTCATGAGATCTCGTTGGCATGCCCTACAAAATGCAAAATCAGTCGTCAAGACTTAAGAGTTCTAATTCCCCGACTCCGTTCCTATTTCTTTTTGTTTTTTCCACTTCAACATCTTTAACGCCACTCTTTCCGAGTCTCGTTTGATGAAATGAAGTTTACGATTTTGTTAGTGAGAAGCTCCGTTCCCGACAAGCGGGCAAGAGAACTAGGGTTGGTGTGGCTAGCCCTAAAGCAGGCAAGCGTTTCGTGGTTCAAAAATGCGGAATCTCGTCGCAGGTGATCCGTCCTTTCTCCTCTGCCGTGGTTCATGCATTCTTCCTTCCACTTACGTGGAATCGACGTTCCAAGGCCGCCAAGAGGGACGGAGGAGGCTAGGTTAGCCGAAAGATGGTGATCAATCAAATATTGCAAAGTCCCGGTATTTGGGAGCAGTTGACGTTGAGCTTCAAGAGCAAGCGATATAAATCTTCTAATCCGTAATCGAGAGAGAATTGGATTTGGTTAGACAATGTGTGGTTGGTAAACAAGGATCGGTTTTTTAGCAGGGTACGGAATGTATTGTCAAATATTCAATATGATTCCACAAGATCTATTTTCGTTCAAGTAACGGATTCTAGCAAATGTTTATACAGCACACCCATTGTTTTTAATGTTAAAACAAATAAACTCAGTCCTGATCATCATCATCCTCATCCTCATCACCAACTCCACCTTGTCGAGAAGTCCCAGCCTAAAAAAATAAATAAAACGTTATAGAGCAATACGTACATCATCAAAAACTGAATTTTACAGTAAAGTAACAAATTGTAAAACAACAAGGCATAACATGCAAGTATAGCAATAATAGAGTATCATGGCATATTCTTACATGTTATATGATTCAGAGAGAGTATCATGGCATATATTTATGTATTATACGCAAGCACGCACATGTTTTTAACAACGCACGCACCCGTACCTATCTCCACCGACACGCACACACGCACGCACGAGTACCCAGCTCAACCCAATCCCCACACTTCCCCTTCCCCCACCACGACCAAACCCAACATCAAGCACGCACATAACGATCACGACAATACAACACATGCAACACCACAACACAACAATAACAACACCACCACCACTACAATAACAATCCCCCACCCACGAACCAACCAAACTCCTACCCCCCACCCCCTCCCCCTCCATCATCATCACCACCACCACCACCACCACGACGAAAACACCCACCAACCAACAACATAACCAACGACCCTACACACGAACGCCCCACAACAAAACAAAATAACAACTAACTAACCAACTCACTATCCAATACAACCATCGCTACGCATGCACGCACCATCAACACCACCATCACATAAAAACATTAAGTATATAATTTTAGTTGTGTTTCGGAGAGAGATATAGTTTGTGTGTAACAGTTTGTGTGATATCATTTAGTCACATGGCATACTCGTAACTAAGTAAGAATTTTATATTTAATTCATTTAATTAAAAAAGAAATATACATATATATATATATTACCTGATCCGCCAAAAACCGTCTCCTATATGCCTCCTGAGCATCAGAAGGCAGAGTCGATATGAACTGGGTGAATTCCAGCTCCCTCTGCTCCCGGCGCCTCCGTTCTTCCTCCGCCATCTGGAGTAGCTCCGACTCCCGACGCGACTGCCAATCTTCCATCGCTTTCATCCGCTGCTCCATAGTCGGGTCTTGAGAAGAACTGCATCCTGGTGGAGCTGCAGACTCGTAGGTGCTACTGGACTCGTACGGCCGATGCTCGGATCCTCTCCACCTGTATCTGTTCTTCCTACTCGGTCCAATGACGGTCTCGATGATGCTATCCTCCTCCTCTCTACTTAATCGGGTCGGAGTGTTAGAATCGACCTGAGTCTGTGATAATTGCTCCTGCACCTTAGCATGTAATTTCTCCTGCGATGAACCAAAACAATCCGATCAATTCTAACACATTTAAAATGTATTGTTATAAAAATTAAATATACAAATTAACTGCTACTTACAGCCAGATCCCGGTTCTGCGCTTTCTTTACTTCATCGGCGTAATTTGGACTCCAACCAGTCAGAATACGATCTGCAAAATGCCCGAGTTCTCCCCTTCCCTATTTTATTCACATATATCATTAACTCATAACACATAAATTATACTCAAATTGATAACCTAAGAGCTAATATATTATATACCTCAAGCGCCAATTGATGATAATGCTGGCTGAAGGACCTGGAGCCCCCGTGATGCTCGTAACTGCGGGGCGCATTGCGGTTCCTCCTTGCTATTTCAGCTTGTTCCTGCAAAAGAATGTTAAACAGATATAATATAGAATTTCAAACAATAAACGAAGATATATACTTCAATAATACCTGAACTTCGGCCGTGTCCCAATAATCGCAAAGTGCAAAAAAATCAACCCCATCGGCGCGCTCGTCAAGATGCCAGTAACGCTCCCAATCTTCTGTTCTTTGAGTAAAATATTTTTTCTTCAGCTCTGACCGCCACCTCTTGAACGATAGATTGATTTGCGTGAAGCAGTAAGTCCAGGCATAAGCGTAATCGTCAAGAAAGAAAAATCGCTTCAGCATACAATGAAAAAAGAGATACAAATCAGTGTGTTAAACAAAATAATAAAATGACTAATAATTATGAGAATTAAAATAAATGACTCACACATATATATCGCCAACAAGCCACCAGCGCATCAATCCGCTGCGACTTCCACGTCAAATATATGTTGAAGAAATCATGTCTCCTGGCTAAAGCGGCGAGGAAATTGTTGAAAGAGTTAGCAAATGGCCCGACAGGCACGCCGTTCTCCCATCGGATCACGGCCCTCCGACGAATATCTGGGACGAGGTTCTGTGGCTTGGTACTACTGCGGCCGCGCCTAGTAGGTCGCTCGGTACCTACGAAAAAATGAAATTCAGGCGAAATATAAATCAATCAATATCGATAATACAAATTAAAATATTAACATATAAACTATAAAAATCTATACACACCTTTCAATTCGAGGCATCTACGCCTTGCTTGTTCATACCTCTGCTGTGCGATAAGTCGCAAATCATGATAAGCATCCCAATCCTCCTTCACCTTGGCCGGGTCGTGGGCTCGCTGATCCGGAATAGAATCCGGCGGTAGTGGCGCAGCTTCTACAGCTGCGCTATATGGCTCATATCGGCGCTCCTCCAATACATCTGCAGCCTGAGGAGGCGACGGCGGCATCTCTGCATGCTGGGCAGGATCAACGAGTGTCTCCGCATCAGGTGGAGCATCTCCTCGTCCTGTGTCCTGTGGCGGCCCGTCATGTGTAGCAGCGATGCGGCCTGCGTAGGAAATGTGAAAAAATAATGTTAGGCTCGTATTAATAGTTTATAGAAATGTACAGATATAATAAATAAATAAAAATACCTGACGTAGAGCCATGTGCGTCGCCTCCAGAATGTCTACCAATAAGTCTCTCAAGCGCTCTCTTACGTAATCCTTTTGTCATCTATACTTTGAAAACATAATGAGTACCCAACAAAACTATAATACATGACAAAAACTGATACATGATAACCAGTCAAACAGATAATATAAAGGCAATACTATAATACATGACACAAACTGATACATGATAACCAGTCAAACAGATAATATAAAGGCAATACTATAATACATGACAAAAACTGATACATGATAACCAGTCAAACAGATAATATAAAGGCAATACTATAATACATAACACAAACTGATACATGTTAACCAGTCAAACAGATACATGAATGTTCTTTTTAAATCATAACCAAGCATTATATTATTATGATGATGTTGAGGCTCTACTCTGCGACCGTGTGCGGTTAGCCTGCGACCGTGTGCGTGCAGACAAAAGGACTGTCCTTATAGTTTTATCGACTCTACCGTGGACTCGTTTTTTGATTTTACGCCTTGGCTCACATATAATCGCAGGTACATCAGGGCGCGCCAGTGCAATTTCATCCACCAGATTATTTTGTGTCAAGGAAAACTCAGCAACTGTTTCGTCGGCCAAGATAACATCTTCATGATCTTCATCAGACACGGCTTCATGAATGTAGGATCTAGGCGGATTCTTAAGGACAACCCATTCGTCATTTTTCATTATATCTTTGACATAAAAGCACTGTTTTGCGTGAGCAGCTAACATGTACTTTTCAGTCTGATATATTTCCTTGTTAAGATTAACGAGTGTGTAACCGTAGTCATCCTTCGCCTTTTTCAGCTCACTCCAACGAACCTTAAACATCACATGTCTGACTTCATTATTAATCCCATAGAAAATCTCCACAATGTCTTCTACCTGACCGTAGCAATAGATTTCACCTTGTATCGGATTTAGATCTTTTGAACTAGCGTATGACAGTTGCGAGAAGGAGCAGAACACACCGCTATTTTGCGTTTGTCGTCTCTCTTCGAAACCGATGGTGTTAAACCTAAAGCCGTTGATACAGTAGCCTCCATAACGCTTTACCACGTTAGAAGGACCTCTGGCATATAAACATATTTTCTCAGGCAGGTTAACCCCATTCGTAATACGTCGGTCAACCTTTAAGAAAAGAAACAAATAGTTTAAATATCTGTTGTCAGGCACATATTTGATATACGAATCAGAAATGTAAATAAATCTTACTTCACCCTTCAGCCATGCAGGGAATTGTCTAGAGTGTGTGTCCATAACTCTTTTGTTTTTTGTTCTGCATTTAAGAATAGTCTGGACATATCGGATGTGAAGCCTAGAATAAAATCATTTACAACAGTTAAATAGAGATAGTTATTGTGATGTGATATGATCTGATTCAAACAGTTAAATACTTACGCCGCGTATATGTTAAATGTAGTATCATTACTCAAGATATATGTGTGGGCTTGATCTAGCTCCATTCTGGGGAATCTAGTGTCCTCCCCACGATCATTATAGAATGTTCCGTCAATTATTCGTTGGGGACGGTTGAGCCTTGTCTCCACACCCCGCAAGTAACGAGAGATGAAATTCAAACTCTCATTACTTATATAGTTCTCTGCTATCGATCCTTCAGGACGTGCACGATTATGCATCAAATGTTTCATGAAACCCAAATACCTACAAGCATATAGTTTCATGATTTGTGACAAAATAAAACTGATATACGTAATTTAACAAATATTAATTGAGCATTATAATAATAAATACCTCTCCACAGGGTACATCCAGCGATATTGAACTGGTCCTGCGATGCGGGCTTCATATGCTAAATGTATTGTGAGATGCACCATGACCGTAAAGAACGAGGGTGGAAATAGAATTTCCATTTTACACAGTGTATTGGTTCGGGAGAGAAGGGGGGAAATCGGGTCTGGGGGGGAAGAGAGTTTTATCGGGCGCGGGCAGCCCAAATTTTTTGGGCGCCCGCGCCCAAAAAATTTCCCTATCGAAAACTTTAGCGACGGCAATATCCGTCGCTAAAGAAGTTATTAGCGATAGATTTGTCCGTCGCTGAATATTCCGTTGCTAAAGAATTTAGCGACGACAAATATCCGTCGCTAAATTGTGGTTATCCGTCGGTAAAATAGTTTCACCTATGGAATAATAGCGACGGATATTTCCGTCGCTAATACAATCGTTATAGCGACGGAAATATCCGTCGCTATTAGTCCGTAGGTGAAAGAGTTTAGAAACTCAGAACGAGTTTAAACTCTGTAACAGAGTTGATTTGAACCGAAAATCGGTTAATAAGCTAAGGATGAAAGCTCCAAGGAATGCTCCAGAGATTAAGCGAAGACCACCCTTTTTATGATCTCCAGATCCGAGAAATCTCCAAGATCCGAAGATGATCTGCTCAAGAGGTTGCCGATCTCTCCTTTTGTGATCTGTTTTTGATGCAAAAAGCTAATCCCTTAACTCAATTGAGTTTCTGGTATTTATAGGGGATTAAGGGTGGTAACTACCCCCTTAATCTGCTCCTAAGTGGGGCGGAAATCCCTCAAATTATGGGGGAAAATGGTTCCTGGAACTGTTCGGTTCGTGTTTGAACAAGTCAAACGCCGAAAATAGCGTTATGGGCCCGAACTCTGCGTTTTAGACTAAAAACGCAGAGTTGGGCCTATGTTGGGTGGCTGAACGCACAGGCCGCGATGCGTTGTAAATCTGAAACGCAGAGTTGGGACGTAGAAATGAACTCTGCGTTTTGGACCTGAGACACAGAGTTGGAACATAGAGATGAACTCTGCGTTTTGGACCTGAGACGCAGAGTTGGAACACAGAGATGAACTCTGCGTTTTGGACTTGAGACGCAGAGTTGGAACACAGAGATGAACTCTGCGTTTTGAACCTGATACGCAGAGTTGGGTTCTGCATGGACTCTGCGCTTTGACTCTGGAATGTAGCCACGGCCTCTGTGTTTTGAATTTGGAACATAGCCATGACCTCTGCGTTTTGAATCTTGAACGCATCCACGACCTCTACGTTTTGAATCTGGAACGCAGCCACGACCTCTGCGTTTTGAGTTTAAAACATAGGCATGACCTCTGCGTTTTGAATCTTGGATGTAGAGGTGAGCCATAAGTGGGCTCGGCGAACTTCAAGCTAAGTCCAATGTTCAGACGAAGTCCAATCTTGCAGACGGACTTCAGAACATAACTTGCTACGAAGAACATGTCATAACTTTCAAACAGTAAGTCGGAATTGGACGAATTATATATGAAAATCGGCTATCTCGACTAGACGGAGTCGACCAAACCGACCCTATTGGGTTCGGTTTGTTTCGTCAGTTTTGCCAAATTCCTTACGGTTTGAGAGATATCTGTGTTTTAATATGAAGAGACCGTCAATTTGTAATCTCTAGAGCGTTGCAAAGATCGTCATCTTGTAACCTTCGTCTTGGCTCCTTGAAAATATGAGAGTCATCAGATTGTAACTCCAGATGTTAATTGTGAAGGCTGTTGAATTAGAGCTTTCATTAGTTGTTGTGAAGGTCGTCAGATTGTAACCTTCTACGTGAAAGTCTTCAAATTGTAGCTTTCTGGAAGTCGTCAGATTGTAACTTCCGTCATTGGTGTTTGATAGGGATAAGATATTTATAATGATTTTTAGACAGCCTACATCAATCTTCTAGGACAGTGATTACACGACTGCTCCCGTGAGGCCTGATTTTTTTATCTCTTACTTATTTAATTCGAATTTAATTTACATGCTATAACCTTTGTTTATACAAAATTTACAATAGGTTATAAGTTAGTTGTCAATGTTAGGAGTTGGTTGTGAAGGTTACGAGTTGTTTGTCAAGGTTACAAATTGGTTGAGAAGGTTACGCATTGGTTATGAAGTTTATGAGTTTGTTGTGAATGTCACAAGTTGTTTGTGAAGGTTACGAGTTGGTTGTGAACCTCGGTAAGGAGTTGGTTGTGAAGATTATGAGTTGGCTGTGAAGGTTAGTTAGCAACAATCACAATCAACTCATTGCCAATGTTCACAATCAACTTATAAAATTTACAAATAACTTGTAAACATCACAACAAACTCATAACCTTCACAACCAACGCGTAACCTTCACAACTGGTGACCTTCGCATCCAACTCGTAACCTTCACAATCAACTCGTAATATTCACAACCAACTCCTTATCGAGGTTTATAACTAATGTGTAACCTTCACAACCAACTCGTAACATTAACAACCAACTCCTAACCTTGATAACCAACTCGTAAGCTTCACAATCAACTTGTAACCTTGACAACAAATTTGTTAACTTCACAATTAACTCGTAACATTCAAAACCAACACATAACCTTCCTTCACAACCATCTTATAACCTTTACAGCAAAGTCATTATAGTGAAATAACAACAATATATAAATTTACAGACTCTACTTTAACCTCAAGTCTTCAATTTCAAAAAAATTATAACAATATGTAAAATAACAAAAAATATAGCACTCAGATTCAAGTACAAGTTAAAAAAGGAAAACATTACATTGGGAGTCATTGGAGTTCCCATCTTTTTCTTCGGAACGACAACGACGACGCTGAATCCATCGCCGGTCATCATCACCGTCTTCAATGTCGTAGTTTTCTTCGCTTCATGAACGAATGCCAACAAAGTTTCATGGCCAATGTCGATGTCGTTGGAAAATTTTTGGGGGAACTAAGATTCCCCCCAAACCCATTTCAAATCATTACAGTGATATCATGAAAAGAGAGAGAGAGAGAGAGAGAGAGAGAGAGAGAGAGAGAGAGAGAGAGAGAGAGAGAGAGTCATGAAAAGAGAGAGAGAGAGAGAGAGAGAGAGAGAGAGAGAGAGAGAGAGAGAGAGAAATGGTATTATGGTCTTCACATGTTTTAAACTCTTGGGTTTTGTATTTTGGGGGCTCAGAGATTTATGGTTTTGCTTTTGTGGGTTTTGGGAGTATTGAGAAAGTCATGGGGGATTGGCGGAATACTTGTAAGGAAACTGGGGGCCAAAAGCAATTTTCCCTAGAAAAGATTTCTAGGGAATGGGAAAACATGATAAGGTTTTTATGGGAAGAACTTCTCAATTTAGTGAGTATATAGCCAAACTCCAGACATAAGCATGTTATGTAGATGACATTGTGGATACTGTAAATACCATTTCATAGTCACTTTAGTAATTTAAGACTTCTGCATTGTAGGGAACATAAATTATAGAATTGATAATTTGATCGTAAATGCCAGACTTTTTGCAATAGAAAATCAACAATTACCGGTCTGCATGTGAACTCAATTAAATTCTTATGCATCTTTTGACAACAATATTTTGCCTTGAATAAATAGTTTGGATGAGGATAAAAATTTTCTTTGATTTTTCTTCATGGCTTAACTTCTTTCAACTTACCAAACACACATGTATATACTACTATAATGACTCTTAGACTTCCTAATAAAGACTTTTGAACTGTCCAACAATATTCATGCATATAATATATTCAATCATTTGACACCTCAAATAACTAAATGATATTCCCAATTCTCAAGTAATTAATCAAGTTTACTTTCAATATTCTTCCTTAAACTTTATCCTTCAATTATGTTGAGCTTGCCTCACAATAAAGTGAACACATTATGCTTCGATAGCTTAGTAAATATGTTAGCCACCTAATCTTGTGATTTCACAAACTCAATCTCAACTTCCATTTCTTTACTTAATCATAGATAAATTAAAATCGAGTATTGACAAATTTGCTCCTTTCATGAAACACTAAAATTTTCTAAAGTGTAATAGCCGACTTGATATCAACACTTTTGGTTGGCTCTTCTTGTCCGAACAAAAGATCTTTGAGTAAATTTCTCAACTAAAGTGTTTGAGTGGCACCTGATGATGTAGCAACATATTCGGATTCACAAGTCAAAAGAGTGACTACTGGCTGTTTCTTTCAAGATTAAGTAAAAGTAGTGGCACCATTAAAGAAAGTGTAACTAGTTGTACTCTTTTGATCATTAACATCTCCGGCTCAATCGCTATCAGTGTATGCATTAAGTTTAAAGTTGTTAGAACTTGAATAAAACAAACTAAATCTATTGCGTCTTTGATGTACTAAACAATTCTCTTTGATGCCAATAAGTGTGAAGACCTTGGATCTGCCATATATCTACTCATGAGCCCAACACCATAGAGAATATTAGCTCTTGTGCAAGTTAGGCAGCGAAGACTTCCAACTAAGCTTTTAAAATAAATTGTATTAACTTTGCTACTATCATCTTTCTTGGACAACTTGACTCCACAATCAACAAGAGTACTCACATGATAGCTATCCTTCATGTTAAACTTATCAAGAATTGTCTTTGCATATCTCTCCTAAGAGATAAAGATTCCATCCCGGCCTTGCTTCACCTTAATGCTAAGATAATAAGACATGAGTCCAATGTCTGTCATCTCAAACTCACAAACTATAGAGCTTTTGAATTCATTGAAGATGTATGGATTTCTTCCTGTAAAGATTAAATCATCCAAATACAAGCATAGAATAACAATATCTCCAGCTTCATTTAACTCAGTATATAAGGCATGCTCATAAGGACATTTAGAAAAATTGTGAGCTCAAAAGTATGCATCATTTCTACTATTCCAACCTCTTGATGCTTGTTTTAAGCCACACATAGTCTTCTTAAACTTCAACACCTTTGATTCTTTTCCTTTCTTGATGTAATCAAGAGGTTGATCTACATAGACCTCTTCTTCAAGAACACCATTCAAAAATGCTAAATTCACATCAAGTTGATAGATCGGTCATTTGTTCAGAGCCGTTAAGACAATAATTAGTTTTATAGTTTCAAGATAAG